CAATTACTGAGTTTTCCTGAGTTTTTGAATATGCGAAGTCCCTGTAAAATGCGTTCGAAGTGAGAAAAGAAAAATAATAATAAGAAACTTTCGAAATACAATAGGCCTTCGCAGCGCTTTGCTGCTCGGGCCTAATAATAAGAAACTTTCGAAATACAATAGGCCTTCGCAGCGCTTTGCTGCTCGGGCCTAATAATAAGAACCGGTACAGATAAAATAGGCTCTCGCAGCGCTTAGCTGCTCGGGCCTAATAATAAGAAACTTTCGAAATACAATAGGCCTTCGCAGCGCTTTGCTGCTCGGGCCTAATAAGAAACTTTCGAAATACAATAGGCTCTTGCAGCCTTCGCTGCTCGGGCCTAATAATAATAATAATAAGAAACTTTCGAAATACAATAGGCCTTCGCAGCGCTTTGCTGCTCGGGCCTAATAAGAAACTTTCGAAATACAATAGGCCTTCGCAGCGCTTTGCTGCTCAGGCCTAATTAAAAGTAAAATAAGTAGCCAACCTTATCACTGTCTGTAACCTACTAACACGGTAAGGAAAGCATCAGATGAGCTACCTGAGAAACTAACGTTACGTTTCGCCACTTTAAAACCAAACAAACATGGTTACTCATCCTGCTGATCAGCTCTCTTCACTGCCATCGAAGGCTCCAACGTGTTTTCTTTTCAGGTGCTGCGTCATAACAGTGGTGCTTCCGTGCCATGTTAATATGTTTTTACAAAAGTTGCATGTTACGACTTTTTTCACTTTACAAAGCGCAGGCTATTTTAATTATTGTGATCAATTTGCCCCGTCAATCCCGGCGCATGCGCGCTTCATTTGCAGTCTGGACGCTGAGGATAAACTCCTCACTAAAATCCTGCGCCTCTGACTGCCGCGCTGAGAGGGATTCCTGTGGGAGAGGGAGAAATGGGTTGGGAAGGGGGAGGCGCCCCACGGCAGGCAAAAGCCGCCAGTGACACCGTAAAAAGTCGCCAGATTTGTCGCTAGTCGCTTTTTTGAAAAACATTCGCTGGAGGGGTCTGAAAAGTCGCTGAGTTGGCAACACTGCAACTGCGGCGCTGACTCACTCCGCCATATTTTTTTTTCTTCCCCCAGATGACGGCGGCGGCGGATGACGCATTAATCGCGCGACACAACTAATCGATGATTAAATTCGTTGCCAGTGCTTTTAAAAGTCGATTTTTATCGATTTTATCGATTCGTTGTTGCAGCCCTGCAGTACAACACACTTCAAATTTTCTGGACCAAGCCAGTGTGCCGTGAGGCTCAGTAGGGACATAGGGCAAACGTCTGCGCTCCAGATATCAGTAGAAAAACTAACAACATTCCGATTCAAGTGACTTTGTATCGTTACTTTAACCTTGCTGAACAGCTGTGGTTTGGCTGTGTCTGTAATGTAGTGTTTTGAGTGCAGAGCGTAGCGCAGGTCCAAAACTTCCAGCAGACGTCCAAGTCCGACATTCTCAACTACTGAGATGGGCTGGTTGTCGAGCAATATATTGGACCAACCTTTATGTTATCGTCTTTACAACCTTGTTTCCTTGGAGTATTTAACTCTCCTCATGAAGTCCAGGGTTTGTTGCTTTGCTTTAGCAACCTTTCCATCTGCAGCTTGACAAAATGCTTCATAAACATCGTCATGTTTTGTCATCAGATTACGAATCAAGTTTGTGGTGTTAAATGTAGCTCTGCTGCTACCTCCTCATGAAATTGCCATTTTGCAGTCATTTTGCAGGCAAGTATCTTTAGAACAGTCTTCACTCTCAGGAGTAAAATATTTCCATACTTCTGACATGCTTAATTTGCACCGCCACGGAGGTTTGTATTGCACAGCTACTGTCAATTGTAACTAGTAGGTATTTTATGGCAGTTGCCATAAAGATCGGAACGACTTGTCAGCTAATGTAGCCGAGCTCCGATCACGGCAAAATAGGAAAATATCGGGTCGATCCGATCTTGCAATCAGGATCGGGACATCCCTAATTTTAACAAGTAAAACTGGAATATCATCCCGCAGAAAACTGACTCCATCATCTTTATTATTCAGCATTTAGAGGATAAAAAATAAGAGAAAATGTAAAAAAAAAAAAAAAAATGTTAATACTCAGCTAACAGGAAAATTACAAGGCAACCATGTTCATCTTTGAGCTCAGTTTCATCAGTTAATCAACTTAAAGGTCCATTTCTTTGTTTGATACTTTAAATGGAGTCTTGCTCCATCATAAGTTGCTTTAGTGTCTTACCCGAGTCGCTAGCTTTGGCTCCTCCACTGCTGCCCTTCACCCACGTGACTTGAGCTCTTGGGCCAAGCTGGATCTTCTCATCCATCTGAGGCTAAAAAAAAAATGTTTTATTCCGTTTTAAATATATATATATAAAAAGAAAAACTCAATGACAGACCAAACATTAAAGCTATGCAACGAGAATGTTACATAGTAGAATAGAATAGAATGGATTTATAACTAAAAGAATAAAAGCATGACCTGTTAATGTCCCATAATGTGCAGAACGAGTAAAGAAAAAAAAAGTTTGAGTTTCAATCTGTGGCAGCCCAGACATTAACCAGCAGAGCTTTTCCAAACATAATTAAAAGTGTCTGCCAATCAGTACCGTACATATCCAACAGGGGGCAACTGAATGAACCACTGCAGCCAAACCACAATAATGCAGACCAGCTAAAGCAGTTCTATTCCACCAGAGCCATCCTGTTGATGTGTAAACAGTTTTCTCAGAGTAACACATCCTGCCAAAGGAAAACATCCAGTCCTGCTGTGGACAAACTCTTAATGGTGAGGGACATGTCGTGACATGAAACACATTCTCAGCGTTTAAAATCTCATTGTTGAACAGTGTGTTCGACAGCACAACACGACAGAACATTTGATTTCACTTTTTTAGTTTCTTATTTTCTTATTTGAAACGTGGACAGATTTGGGGGAAACATGTTGAACTTTGATAGATGAGTGAACTTTTCTTTCCAGTAATAAAGAGAAACTACGGTTTGCTTTCCCAGGGTAAAAAAAATCCCTCCTAAAAATCATAAAGCTATAGTGCTTCCATTACATCGATTAAAGAGGATTCTTTGACTGCAAAAAAATAAATATTTTTTTTATCTAAAGCCAAATTTTACTTCAAGATTATAACTCATTGATGATTTGAATCATTCAGGCAGAATAATAGGATTTATCAGGACCCCGACTGTCAATGGCCACAGTAGAACTGCCAAGCACTGTGTATTCAGACAGCTTTGCATCAGAATCAGCATCAACATCATTAATAATCTGAGCCACACAAACTCTGGGGAGTTTTATTTTTTTTATTTTGTCACCCAATTTGGATTTTATTTAGATTTTTTTTCTTCATCACTACACTGGAAAAACGATCTAGAAATAAGTAAAAATTTCTTAAATTAAGTGTATTTGCCCTTAATTTGAGTAGGTAAATGAGATGATTTGCCAATGGAATTTGTTTTTTTTACTCTCAATATAAGATAATTAGATAATATGATCTTAAAATAAGACAACACAATTGTGTTGTCTTATTTTAAGTGTAAAGTCTTGTTCTATTGGCGAAATGTCTCTTTTACCTCCTCAATCCAAGAACAAATGCACTAATATGCATTTTGTTTGCTTCCCTCCAAATTCACTATGTGGCTCAGCCCCACAACTCACCTTGGAGATCTTTGGGATCTTATTGGGGTCGATGGTCCTGCTGTTCTTCGTCATGGGCACCGTGTTCCAGGTTTCCTCTTTGCGTGACTCCCTCTGCTCTCTTGGATCTACGTCACCGAACGGATCCAGCACAGACAGGGAGAAGAACGTTTATAAATGAATGAAACGTCTCTGTGATATTTAACATTTTATCCAAGGGAAATGTCTTAAAGCCTTTTAACTGATGGGAAGACATTTTCCACTGTTTCTGTAACAAACAATGAAATATTCAAAGTCTGCTGACAGATGGGAATGAGCGGGGGGCTTCCTGTCAGCTGCTGGGCACAATGGGATCTCTGCAGGCTGTGCGGAGCAGAAGCCTGCCTGCTTGCAGGACAGCAGAGTCACTAGCTGTGTGGATGTTCCACTCTAAGCCTTAAAGAGGATTCCAGCACTCACCTGGCCGTCTCTTGCTGTCCTTGGAGAGCAGCTGCTGGTGCACCTTTCGCTGCTCTTCCTGCTCTTCAATCTTTGCCTCCTTGTGGATCTGCTCGATGGTCTTTGGACCCTGGTCGGCTCTCCTGGACACCCAGTTGTGCTGTAATGTAAGGAGCACAACACTTGGATTTAAAACCAGATAAACAGCTAATCCTAACTGATGTCATAATATAAATCTTTTGAATGGCAGCCCAAAGAGGAATCTTCCTTTCTTATCATCTAAACCTAAATGACTGACAACCAATCTTATCCAAAAGTTTCACATGTTTCCTGATGTTTTGTAAAAAGTTAAACATCCCTAAACTGGTTATTTATTTGCTTATAAAACATAGAAGCTTTTTAAGAAACAAATTCTGGATGATCTAACTATTCTTTCTACTCTTTCTGATTATTGTAATTACGAAAATAAATGTGCAGAATGGAATTACTGCAATTTCGAAAAACACAATTTTTGATAAAAAGTTTTTACGCAACGAAGACTTAATTTTTCCATTGTCAGGTTGAAATGACTATTTCACAAAACCGCAATGGAACCATTTTTATTAACCACACGAGTCACATGATCTGCAACTAAAAACAACCTGAAGAAGAACTGAAGTAGTTGGATTCATGAGAAGACAAGTATGTTTTTCAAGTTTTTAGTTCACGACGATGAGCAGCAGAACCAAGGATAAAATATGGATATATCATACGTTTACATCCAGCGCTGCCATGTTATGTTTTTAAGAGTTATGGCGTGAACAGTCATATTCTACTTTGATTCTATTTCTTATTTAATGGAAATACTGCAATTGTGAAAATTAGAATTTTCAAAATTAGCAGAATATTGACATAGTTTTGTGCACATTTGTAAAAGAAATGCTTCTTACAATCCAAGCTGTTCATTTTCCCCTCATCACAGATACAAGTGGCTCCCTACAGGATGCATTGTTTATGTTGAATGGACATAGAAAATCCTGTGATATTTGTGCAGGTCATGATTTCTTATTTTGTTATGCAGTTATTGCTCCACCTCTCAGAGCGTTCCCTTCAGCATCTAGTTATGTTTTTCAGTTGCATCGATAATAAAAATGGCTCGTTTTAAACAGTGAGTACATCTTAGCTGGTATGAGAAAGTTCTCTACGGCACTGTCCCTCTTTATCTTTAGTATAGTCTAGCTTAGGAGATCAGTTAATATACTTGTAGCAGTATTTGTAGAAAGAGTTGAAATGTTAAACTGAGGTTGACGATACAGTACAGCCAACATGGCAGAAACAATCAAACAAACCTCTGTGAGAAAAGCACCATAAAATCTGAATGACCAATTATCAGAAAACACAGCTTACCAGTCTGAGGTCTATAACATCCTGGAGCATAAATCGTATCCTAGATGATGTCTTCCGCTCCTTAACAATTTTTTCCATTTGGTTGAAATACTGATCCATGCGAGGCTGCAGAGGAAAAAGAAGAACCATGGTTTAAAATCAACTTCTGCTTGATTTGGAAGCTGTTGCCAGAAGATAATATCCTTTTTGTTAAAGGACAGATCGATCAGTTATCAGGTTTAAGGGAAGAACCACAGCCTTCCTGTTAGATGAGCATTATGAGGCCGATCAAACTAGTCCCCAACCAGTGCACTCCTTGGGCTTCCATAGCTCAGAATGGCTTCATCTCATCACTTTGTAATTTACCTAAAGCTGACTGTGTAACAACACCAGCTGCAAACATTTCCTTTGTTGTAATTTCTAATTTGTTGTGAAACATTGTTTAACAAGCATTTTCACAGCTTAAATTTTGTTGCCCTTTAAATTAAGTCCACCTTCAGAAGGAGATGATTGAACTAAAAGCTGCTTTTTGAAATTAATGTATTTCATTTACCTTTTTTTTTATTATGAAACTTAAAGGAAAAAAAAGGCTTTTAGCAGAAACATTTTCACGTTGTTAATAGTGAAAATAGCAATAAAAAGACTTTTGTTTAGACGACAAACAGATTATAGGTGGCAGAATACAGTCTAGCTGTTTAAGGCTAAACAAATCCTAAATCAAAAGAAAAGCCGACACACCGCGCTTATGTTCACACATACAGAACACATTTTTTTAGACTTTGTCTCCAGCAGAAGTGGCAGACATGTTTACGAGAACTCCAAGTTACCTTGGGACAGCGCCTGGCTTGTTACTCCCTTTTGGTTTCTAACTTAATCTGTTAAACGGAGCCATGAAACCTCCACCATGTAACACCATATCGCTGCAGACTCTAGCTCTTTCAGTGATTTGATTTAAAGTAGCACAGCACCAGTTCAGAGTATAGCGACGGGCTTAAATGACCGCCACGTTGTGCACATGCACAGGAAAGGTGAGCATTGTGTAAGCACATTTAACCCTCGGTGAACATGTTAAAGCTTCCTGCAGCTCACCTTGGCCTTCTCAAAGTCCAGATCCTTTCCAATGGTGGTAAGCAGCCTGCACAGGCACTCCAAGGACTCCTGGTCATGGTTCTTCAGCAGCTTGACCACACAGTCGTGCATGATGGCTTCAGTCAACATTTTGAGCTTGAAGAGCTCGCCAATGAACTTGATGTTGCCAATGGAGCGCCGCCTGGCCTTGTCCTTGGCTTCCTCCAGCTCCTCCTGAAGCCGGTCACGCTCTGCAGCCTGATGCCAATAAGAAGACATTGAACATTTGCTCCTGCAGCTGTAACCAAAGTACTAAAAAACAAAGACAACAAACCGATGCAGCAGAGTCCAGCTCTTTCTGCTTCCTCTCAAACACCACGTCGTCTGCCTTGTCTTTCTCAAACTCCTTCTGGCAGCGGTGTAGCAGCAGAGCGCGGAAATTTACAGTGGTCTGAGGTTTATCTGTCATCTGCACCTTGAGCTGCAAAACAACAAATAAGAAGAGGGAGAAAAGGAAAATCACCCGATATAATAGCCTAGTAGGAAATTAGATGTGCATATTCACATTAATCATCTTTCTTAGATTTTTTTCTTTTACCGCACCCTTTTATATCGGTGTTAGAGCTGCTTACCTTTGCAAGGAACCGACACATTTGTCCATAAGCCACAGAGAAGCTGGGCTCATCGATGGCTTTCTCAAAAACCAGGTCGATGACCCCTTTGAGCCTTTCCTCTGTGTCAATGGTCAGATCCGTCACCTGCTGCATCAGCTGGTTGAACTTCTGTGGCGTCAGCTTGTTCAGGATGCTGCGGACCTTCCTGAAGAGCTCCTGCAGCAACAGAAGAAAAAAAAAAAAAACACTCCAAAGCTAAGATTAAATCTAAACACTACCATAGATAAGCTCAGTCTGTGTCGCTTTGTTCCCTGCCTGAGTTTTCTGAGTCTCTGGATCCTCTGGTTGGCCCTCCCTCTTCATGCCGGGCTTCCAGGCGTTCTCCGACTTCTTCAGCTGAATGTCATCGTTAACGGACACGTTTACGATGATCTTCCTGGGCGGAGGCCGTCGTGTCCCCAGGTTCATAAGCTATGGAAGCAGACAGAAGAAAACACAGGAGATCCGTTTTCCTCTCTGCTTGTAGGTGATGCTACAAAAACTAGTGAGAATTACTGTAAACAAGGCAGGAATCCACACAAAGGTGGAGGTGGCAGCTATATTAGACCATCATGAAAACCTTACTAACTAGTATTAAACATATAAACTCACACCAGATACAGCTGCTCAATTTAAGCCCTTGAGCCCGGCGAGCCCAGTACCGGGCCCAGCTCACACCAGCTGATGTTTATCTATTTATAGAAACGGCCAAAACACAGTCACATGGTGTTCCATCCACAAGCCTTTCAAATGCGGCTTTAAATTTCCTAAAACATGTTTCAAAATTATTTTTTCACAAACACCTTTAGTTTTTATAGCTTTGTAAACAAATAAAATGAGATTTTAAATTCCGCCTAACATGTGCGACTCTGTAAGGAGTAATGGAACAGCAGGTATTCATTTTTAGGGGTCAGAGGTAATTGTGCGACCATTGCTGGTCCAGCATGTGTTGCATAAGCTTGCTCTGTTATTCTTTTCTTTTCTATTCAGTTTGGTGATGTTATTGTGTTCAATGAACAGCGGCTAAATCTTAGGAGAAAAGGCTTTGTCGTATGCAGAAGGTCTAAAATAATGTAAATCGGCATATTTGTTTGGCCAGATTGCCTTTTATGAGTGGAGAAATGCATTTAGCACAATTTGGCCACATTTAGGACCAATTTGCTAAAATGACATTTCCGCCTAATACACCGCTCACTGAAACCTTTGTGGAACAAACATGCTTCAGTTTATTCAGTCCAAATTTGCTTGTTATGGTCAAGATATGGATCTGCAAAGTTTGAGGGTTCATCCAGAGTTTCAAATGGGGTTTCATGGGGTTTTTAAGTGTTCATTTTGGAAAATAAGTTAAATAAATTCATTTTTTCTTTGTATAATGACCTATAAATCAGACATGGTGACATTAAAATAGTGGTTCCACCAAAAACAAATAAAAAAAATATTCCTCAGTGCCTCTCTGTCACACACATTCAAACAATTGTATTTCCAATTTTCAGTTTGGGAGCTGTACTTGCTTTAATTCACATATGTAATTTCAAATTTGCTCCTAAGACCATCAGGGCTGAAATAACCATTTGTCTGGAGTTTAATGCACAATTGACAAAAAAACAAAATAGAAAACATGTTTTTTTCCCCTGTTGGGATGTGTGTGACTTTATGAATGAATCTGGGATGTTGTTTGGTGTGTCGGGTTTGTGTGTGACTCACAGCTGCTCCCCGTCCACCACTCATCTGTCGCCCAAAATCTGCAAAAGCAGGCGTGAAATCAGGTCCCCTAGAAATCACCCTGGAGTCCACCACCCGGGATGACAACTTGTTTTGGTTCATCTGCACAAAACAAAGCATATATACTGTCACATGTGAACACACAAAGACTGGGATGAACAGCAGGGTGCGCAGTGATCCTCTATCAAACCCAGCAGCAGAAGCCTGTCCTATGAGTGGAGCATTTCTCCCCTCTTATGCTGACCTGTGATTAATGACTGGTCATCAGAGCTTCAGGGTTTGATTTATAGGAACTCCCCCCCCCCCCCCCCCCAAAAAAAAAAAGATGTTGAAATAACCTCCACTTCTATTGAGAAACAACCAGAACTTTAAAATAAAATAAAATTGTCGTCCCATCCAAATGTCTTCAAACTTGGAAACAAAGTCAAGTGAATTGTTTTTTTTTTTTTACTTTTTTTGGAATCCCTATGATCTGGATGACTGAAAATCTTCACCATCAACCAGAACTTTAGAACCAGATGTGGTCAGAATGTGAAACAAAGGGAGAGCAAATCAGGCTCTTTGTCGTTGAGCTCTCCTAGACTTCCTCTCAAAGCTTTTTCCAGAGAAATTCAACTTTCTCCCTGTGAGAAAAAAGAAACTTTGGGACGGCACCAATCAACTGCTCACCATCCTTTTCGAAGAAAGAGGGGGAGGAGCATGTACACCAAACGCTGCCAAGGGTGACATAATAGCAATGTGATTTTAATCAAAACAGCATTTCAGCAGGCCATATGCTGCACTCGTACATATAAGTGGATCTGAGCAGCAAACCACCCTGCTGGACAGATCCAGACAAACTAAAACCATTCCCATGCAGAGCATTACAGTGAGGCAGCAGAAAAAGAAATCACTTTAATTGGGTAGATTGCCCAAAGCAGAATCAGCACCAATGATCATGCTCATAATGAATTTGTTTCATCTAACTAATTAGCTTTATTGCTTCATCTTTAGATGTGTTTATTTCCAAGAAGTCCCAGCAGGAAGTTTTATAAGTGATCTTTTCTCCATCTAATAACCTATAATTCTGATTAACGAACAGTAAATTTCAGATACTCACATTCGAACGAATGAGCAGTGATTCTAACTGAAGACTTAATTGGCTTATTATTACTGTAGCTGACAGCTGGTGATTAACCAGCCGCAAGAGCTCCTGTTACAACATGAATCTCCCTCTGACTTGGGCGATCTCACTTAGCAGAGAGAATCAGATGAAAAGAAGAACTGTGTGGAAATTACAGATCATGTTAAACAGCTGGGAAAGCAGGACTGGGATGGAGATTTCTGGATGTGAAAACAGTCATTTTTTGGGGTTTTATTCCAACAGCACTAAAAAATATCCTCTTTAGCAACTAAAACTAATAATGATAAGATGTTCCAATTTGGGTGTATCTAAAATTGGACATAAAGAAACTGAAACATCTAATTTTTTTATTTTAGCTCAGGAGGCTTTTTTCCAAAGTAATTTGAAATGATTAATCTTGTGCTGTAGAAAACTCGCTTTGAAAAGCATGTCAACATGAAAGTGGACCCGCTGATTACTGGTCTTTAACTAACCTTGTCCAGCACCACATCACTGATTGGTGGGAGCCCCTCAGGTTTCTGTATGCACTGAGGCATGAACTGGAAGTTCAACAGGAAGTCTCTGCCATACTGCCGCTTCCCACTCAGCTCAGCAAGGTCTGAAAACCAAACAGGGATTAGAGAAAGAAAGTCTCTAAAAAGTCACCAACAAATTACACAAAGAACCAAAATCTTATTCTCCACATTAAGTAAATGCATTTGATAAATAACATCTCGCTAATCCTCTTCTGACTTGGAGACCTCAGACATTTTGCTGTAACTTGATCACCAGCTCCTACCTTCGACATCCTGAGGGGCCTCCGTGGAGATCTCCTTGTCTCCAGGGGTGGCTCCGCTGTCACTGCTCTCCGTCTCCGACGTGTGGCCCGCTCCGTTTCTCAGGGGCTCCGACTCTGCCTCGCCGTTTTCCTCAGAAACGGTGGGCTTTCCGTCAGCGTCGGGGCTAACGGTGGGAGCAGGTGTCGGGGCAGCAGCAGCAGAGGGGAAGACTGTCGGCAGGGGGCCAGGACTGCAGCTGAGAGGGGCCGATTGAAGGGATTGCTCACTTGCAGGCGAGTCTAGAACTTTGGGCTCCTCCTGTACATAGAAAACAGATACAGTTTTACAGAAAGATGGCCCCTCTCTTTTCTACTGAACTTCTGATAACAGCAGCATTAAATCAAAACAGAAACTGTTATGGTTCTTAGTCAAGTTTCATCATGTTTAAATCAATTTTTTGCAAACTGAAAATGAACGAGAACTGTTAATCCTGCGTTCTTTACGATCACTTTAAACATGAATTCTCAAAAGGTCTGAGGTCACTCTGGGGTGGAAGGATTTTACCCGCTTACCAAGACTGACAGGAAAACAAAAGGTTTGGTTTGGAGGATTTTCACTCATAAACCCTTTGCATAAATTCTAAAACAACCAGCCTGAGGCCACTTGTTTGTCGGCCATCTTTTCATGACCGAGTCCTTGAACTGCACCCATCAAAAAAGCACAAACAAAAGCAGCCAAACAAGATGGTTAAAGATCAGCCATAACCAACTGGTGGATTTTTGTGGCGGAAAATAATTTCAGTCTGCCCCCGCCCCCCCACACGTGGAAATATCTTCCTCTTTAACTACTGCCCACATCATTTTCTCTCCTTTCTCCCACATTTCTTCACAAACAACGGCTTTTTTTCTTTCCTGACCTCTTCCTCCTTTTGATGCGCGTCTCCAGCACTGAAAGTTTCATTTGGTTTTCTCCAGGTCTTTGGTATAGCAGACGTCTGATTCACTGCAAGGAAACAAATAATGCACAATTAAATAATCATTCAAACAACTAATCAAATTATTCCTAAAATTCAGAGGAAAATAAATCCTAATAAGTGAACAGATGTTTGATTCAAGTGTTTAGCTCATAATCAAAGGGATGGTTGAACATCCTCCTCAAAGACCAAAACTGTTATCAAATGTTGCAGACACCAGAGCATCACACTACCACCACCATGCTCCAATGTTGCTATAGTGCTCCATTTCTGAAATGCTGCATTAGATTTAAGCCAGAAGAAAAAACTTTTTCCAAAATCTTCACCTTTTGCCAACTTAGAATTCTTTTTTTCCCCTTCTTTGGGATTATTAAGAGGTAAAATTGTAACAGTACTAAAATATTAAACATGATATCACTACCCAGGAAAATACTCAGTGTTTGGTACAACATTCTCAACAGATATATGAAAATAAATGCAAAATAAATAACCCCAAAATAACATAATTTGGTGTCAATCCTCTAATGTGGAACAATATAATACAAATTAGTATTGTAGCATTTGGGTGTTAACACTTTTGACACCCCAATTCAGATGTTTCTGGGGTAAAATGTAAAAAGGTTCAAAAGTTTTTTTTTTACCAAAGTCATTATTATGGGCTGTTTATACTCCCGCAGCAGTGCGTCGCAGTGAGCTTGTCACAGATATGTTTGATTTATGCCCAATATTAAAGCGTGGTCTGTGCTATGTTATTCCACGCCACAACGCAAGAAGGACAATCACCACCTAGGAGTGGGTCTAGATACGGCTGAGGCGGTGAGGAAGTGGAAAAACGCAAGAGGCAAGTTTGTACGACAAAGAGAGACATGAGCGGGGATCCAGGTGGAAAAAGGGTCCCATCGTTCTCGTGCACCTCGCTCTTCTAGCTGGTCTAACTTCACCAGTCGTTTTCCACAATGAAGGTCATACTAGTTTCCAAACAGGAAATACCCATAGTGTAGAGCGGATATAGATTTGTCATTTGTCAATCAGAGGCCTCCTGTCTGCAGTCACCTACAGTTTTGGAGAGGTGCAGCAGATTGTCTGTGGGGGGAAGCATATCTGCGTTCTGAGCAGAAACCAGCCTTTGTTGTTGACATATCAAACCTGATCCTAAATGCAGTGAGTGAGGGCTCCTCTGCTTTAAGTTTTTCTAGACTCCATTGGAAGTTCCTGAATGAGTCACCAGTCACCTGGTCACTACAAGGAAAGTTCACCACTGTGGATAATGACTCACCAATCATCGCTTAACTCCACAAGCATCTGCTCTTTAATTATTTTCCTTTGTGATGTGTTGTTTTTTAGATCTTAACTGTAGCCCGTTTGTTCCTTTATGTTATTACGAAGGTTAAACTCAATCTGTCGGCTGACTCTACGGGTCTGGCTGATATAACTACAGCAAATCATTAATTTTATCATATTTTATTTTCACATAGCACAAGGGTGGGTTTAATAGCTTTTATGCCAACAACTCATTTTAAACAGTTTTTTTATTAACTCAGAATATCTTTGGTTTCAAAGTTTATTTGATGTAATCTGTAAAAGAGCTGCATGCGTCTCCTAAGCACTACATACCCGCTGTGGGGCTCCTCCTGGCCAGCGCTTGTAGCTGAGGCTCCACTTTGCTCTCATTAATGCCACCCTGCGCCTCCATCCCTCCTCTGGACATGAGGTCTTTTATATCTAAGGTCTTGCTGGGCTCATCTGCCTCTGCTGTGGCCTGCACAAGAGGCGGAAGGCCAGGGGGGAGCATAACTGACAGAGCTGGGAGGGGGCTCGAGGTAAGGGTGACAGGCACCACGGCAACAGGTGACAAAGGGGACAGCACAGCAGCGATTGGCACATCTGGCCTCACGTCAGAGGGCACGGCTTCCGAGGATGAGGCGTCTCTGTAAACGGAAGCAGCAGCCAGCGGGTGAAGCGCCACCTGGGGAAGGAGCGGCGGCTCTTGAGCTACGACTTCGAGCTCGTTCCCCGAATCGGTGAGGCCATTCAAAGCCTTAGGAGAAGCTGACGGAGAAGCGCCGAAAGTCTGCGGGGCGTCTGGAAGCGGTTTGTCTGTGCTGGGCATGTGAGGTGCTACCAGGGACGATTTGTTCTCTCCGACAGAGGAGGGGGCTGAAGCAGCGGACTCCCTGGCCGAGGGAGCAGAGTTAGCTACTGTAGGGGGGGGAACGATAGCGTTGTGGAAGGGAAGCTCTAACTCCACAGAGGCAGGGGGCTCAGGCCCAGAACTAGTGGCCTCCATTCTCTCTAAGGGAGCTTCAAGCTGCAAGAGAGCAGGAGAGGAAGACTGCTGGACCACTGGCTCCAATTTTGGCAAATCAACTGAAAGAGGTAGAGAAACAGGAAAAAGTGCAGGTTACATCAATGCATCCACAAGCAAAAAGACAAAAAAAAAAAAAAAACACGTTTTTTTTTTTTTTTAACACTGAACAGTCCTCAGATATAAACCATAAAGCAGCTGGTAAAATGTTGACCAAATATTTGGATGTTGCATCAAATTGAAAACACTGAATTGTTGAAACGAACATGGCTGACCCTACTTGAACATGTTGCAGCGTGAAGTTGATAATGAGTTTAATGCAGACCTGGTCCTGGTTTGCTGTCTGGAGCCCCAATTGTTAGCGGCTGCTGTTGTATCTGCTGCGGCTCCGGTGTAACACTTCCAGGATGGGCCTGTTGCTGCTGAGCAGGAAGAGAGGGCTGCGAATGCTGCTGCTCCGGAGTCTGGCTGCTGCTTGGGTGCTGCAATTGGAAGTAGACAATGTGAGGATAATGAGGGTGCAGCCATAAAAATGAGCAACACAGAAAACCAGGAAGTAGCAGCATGGAAATTAAGGTAATTGAAAAAACAAACAAGTACACAATTGAAAAGAAGACAGAGGTGGAAGACGAAATGAAAGGAACGTCAGGATAAGGATTATTGTGAGAGGAAAATATCTAAGCTAAGGACAAAGAAAGAGCAGAAAACAAGTGAATACATTAAATGTTCTGATCCAAAGAGGGACTGAAAGGTTTTCTTCAAAATCCAAACCAGAAATCCAAATCAACATCAGCTGGTATATTATAGTACAGTTTGTGGCTACAATGTAGCTTGCCACCATCAGTGTGTGAGTGTGTGCGTGAATGGGTGAATGAATGTAGTGTAAAGCGCTTTGGTCAAGTCTGCTGACTTGAATAAAGGCGCTATATAAGTACAGGCCATTTACCATTTACCATTTGTACAAAACGACATTACAAATAAAAAAAAAAAAAGACCAGGCCACCTTAACGGATCTGTAGGAGTTAGCAGATGGTATGAATCTACGGTAGAAGGCAGTGGATGGAAAGAACCGCAGATGGGAAGAAATCAGGTGTAAAATGAAAAGAGATGTTAACTAGTTAACAAGGCCCAGGCCTTCTCAACCAACCATATAAACGTGTATGCTACGCCCGGTGAACGCTTTCAAGGAAAGGAGTCTAAAGCCCCATTTACGCTAGCCTACCTTTTGAAACCGTGCTGAGAGCTGTAACCGAGATAACTGCTGAGTGTAAATGGAACACAACTGAACCGAACTGTGCCAGACACAACCGAACTGCGCTAAATCTAGTACTAGTTCAACAGTAGGGCTCGGAACGCTTTAGTTGTGGCTTTCTGGCGTATTCAGGTTCAGTGTTGTCAAAAGTTCACACATTTGTTACTTAGGTAGAAGTATAGATACTGCAGTTTAAAAACACTCTGGTAAAAGTTTAAGTATCAATTTGACCTCTTTTACTCAGGTAAAAGTGAAAAAGTATGGGCTCCAAAAACTAGTTAAGTAGTACTAAGTATAAAAGTATAAAGTGACCTTTAAAAAAAAAACAGCCAGGTGCCACTATATGAACTAAAAGCTCAATTTTTTGACTCTTTCGAAAAATTCTTTGAGATAGGGCCAAGGATGAGGGAGGTCTTGTTGGTCTCCGTCTCCCGATACGCTCTCGCCTGTGTCCGACCTTTCAAACATTTCAACATCTTTTTCTGAATCCAAAATTGTAGCATGGCAGACATTTGGTGTTTGCAGTTTGAAGAACACCTGCTTGCTTCTGATGTTTTCCTTTCGGCTAACCAATGAGTCCGCCGATAGGAGGTGAGAAAACGTGCTAGCGTTTTGCGTAAATGGTTGTAGGAACCAAGCTCGCCATGGTTGAGTTATCAAGGCTCGGTGTGAAGTCGGTACAGGTTGGTTTTAGATGGGGAGGTGTAAATGGGGCATAAGAGCCCAGATACAGATGACCACCTCCATTTTGTTATTGTAAAGAGCTGGGAACGTTTCCTTCCACTTTAAAATCAGGCGCCACATTGTGTTCCCAATAAAGAGATAAGATGTTATGTTTGAAACTTGTTAGAAATTTACAAGAATTTGAGGGATTGGAAACCTTTGGGTTGGATTACAGCTTTTTTTCTTGGGGGTGGAAGCTACAATTTGATGTCAGCCATGTTTATAAAAAAAAAAAAAAAAGCTAGAGCTAACTTAGTTTTGATCAAGTTTTGACTCATAGTAAATTACAAACATGAACAGAACCTCCTGCCTGCTTCACACATGCCCGAAAATAATTCCTCCCTCACAGAGCCCTGCTGTAGGCCTAGCATTGGGCTACAGAGCCATACCTGTGGAGGTGTTGGGGTGGAGGAAGGACCGACAGGAGGCGTTGAGTTCCTGCTCCCTGAGCCCCCAGCCAAGATCTCTGCTGTGATATCCTTGCCGCCCTGATTCGGGTCACGGATACAGATCTAAGAGGAAAATGAAATAAAATAAAATAAAATAACAATAGGGATCTCTTTAAAGCCCCAGAGTCGAAGGCCAAAGTGCACATTGATCAGCGGCTGTGAAGAGTCTTTAATGCAACAAACATTGAGTCATTATTTTGGCTCATATCTGGTTGTCTCAAGGAACGTTTTTCCAAGACTGCGATGATTTCTTTAATATTTACGTCTACATCAAAGCCCTGCTGTCATTATCAACACATATAGATGCGACTCAAAAATGTCAGCTAGCAAAACAAAGAGAACTACTAAGACACTTACTGTTTTCTTCTCACGCCTGGCCTGCTGAGGTTGCTGTTGTGTAGGCACTATGATGGAGGGCGAGTGGGGGAACAGTGTCTGCCCAGGGTAGAAGGTCGGGCCAGCTGTTTGAACGGGTGCAGGGACAGAGGGGGACACAGGAGGGTGGTACCTGAGGGGATCTGAAGGAGTTCAAGAGAAAAGAAAACATGTCAGTTAAAACAGATCCGGTTCCTAACTCCATTCATGCTGTCAGGCGGTTCTGATTGGAGGTCGGTGTATAAATTCTGACAGGTGAGAGACTCACGGTATGGGTTGGAGTATTCCCCTGGTCCTGGACCAGGATAAAAGGTGCCAGAGCCTGGAGGCTGGACCGAATACTGCTGTGGCGGACCCACATAGGGTGTACTGGGGCGGTACTGGAGGGAGAAAATAGGACCAATCTGTTACTACAAACGTTCCTTCAGCTGAAGTAATGAAGACTAACGATTCAAGGACATCTAATTAAGAAATTTGTGGATTAATCAATCCAGGTGGATCTTACAGTTTGAATAAAAATGTATTCAGATCTTTTAAATGTTGTTGTTTATGTCCTTGCAGCTGTGTGTCATTTCCTCAGATGATTATGAATCACTTTCTGAGGTAAACTGCAAAAGTTACAGAGCATCCAAACCTAGATTTACAGACTGGTGCACCTGTGCAGACTGAAGCAAATCAAACACAAATTCCTACATTAAAAAAAAAATCAAAAAGTATTAAGCTCGATGGATGAGTTCTATAAATGGCCTCAACAGTTATATCATTAGCAACCCTGATTGCTCGCTCTGCTGAGCAGAAAACGCCATATTGTGTTTCAGCCTCACCTGTGGGATGTAGTACTGTGCAGCCTGTGGGGATGGGAAAGGCATGGGGGCCATGGCCATCATGATTGGCTGATTGGTGGGGTAGACAGCCGCCGCAGGAGTCTGCGAGCCGGGACGTATGGAGGGTGCGTTTGTCGGCATTGAGGCCCTCGCAGTTTGCATCTGAGTTCTTGGAAAAAACTGAGGGTAATATGAAAAAGACAAAAAAAAAGAAACAAGACACATAAGGAAGTTTTCCTGCAGTTTTTGTTTTTATTTTTGCACAATTTCTCAGCAGCCTAGGGAACTAGAACAGTTTTCTTTTATTTTTATTGTTTTTTTTAAATAAATAGTGATAAATGAAATGCAGAATGACACTTTAAAACATGCATCTAAAATTCACCTTTGGCCTGAAAATAATTATGTGGTACAATTTAATATTACCGGACGGTTTCCATTCATAACAGTGGAACAACTATGGATCATTTTTACCCAAACATCCATAGAATGGGATCCACTTTACCTTTGGTGTAAAGAACCAATAACTGTGTTTTTTTGTTTAAATCTATTCTAAATGTCTGATATTAATAATAAAAATAACAAATTTTTATCAAAATCTACCAAAAACTAAACTCTCATCAGAATCCACAGCTGTAACACATTTAAAGGCAGCTGCATGTCACCTGGACCTCTTTTTTTCTGCCGTTCTGAATATAGCAAAGCTCTGCGTCCCATGAATCAGAAAACAAATCATTACAAAAGCTGTGAGAATATCTTCTGTACAGAATGACGCTCTATACCGTGTTTAACATCGGATGATGTGAGCAAAGCACAATTGCTATGCATGACTTTAAAAGAAAGAAGAAGAAAAAAAGGCAACAAGTGAAATCTTTAAATCACTGCCTCAAACTGGGAACATGCAGCCGCAGTCTCCATGTCCCACAAGAGAAGTAGGCGTGGATAATCAATGCATTAAAATGATCTAAAAATACTCAGGAGGGAAATCACCTTTCAAGTAATATACTAGCCTGAGTGGTTTTATGGTAAATAGTAGTGAGGAAATGAACAGGAAACTGTTGAAGAAAAGGGATCTGGGGTTATTTTCAGTGAAATTCCCTGAAACAGCGGACAAAGCAACGAATAGGAGGAAAGACAAAAAAAAAACAACTACAATAAAGCTTACACTAAAAGAGGCTTTGTAATAAACGAACACTGTTCAGTGCAACACACTTGAGAAACTAATACTGAAAGTAAAGAAAAGTAAAATTTGATATATTTGTTTATATTAGACATGCAATTCATTTCATTAAACAAGATCAATAAAGATGAGTAACGAAGGAAACTAAAGATGTCCCCTAATAAGGACAGGAAATACTGCAATTAAACGATTAAAAACCTCCATTGTCTGTTCACTGCATTAAAGATGGCGGGTGGGGGGTGGAGAGGATTCAAAGTTAGGGGGACAGGATCATTTCGGGATGGTCCCCTTCATGCCATGCATCTCTGCTGAGGGAAAGCAGTGTTACCTGGATGGGCCTGAATCCTCCCTTGGGTTTTGAAAGCAGTAAGGAAAGAAAAGCCAGTGGAAGGATAAACTGGTGAGATGTAAATATCCACGCACAAACAAACAGAAAGCTAATCATCTTCTTCCACTTGACAAAGAAACTGGTCATAAACCACTTTAACTCTCATTTAATCAGAGTAGAAAACCTGGACAAAGCCGGAGGCATCAATGTGTACAAAGATTTATCACCACATAAATAAATTGGTCACAGATTCAAACTCTCTTCACCTAAAATATGAGGATCACAATGTGTTGACTCACCTGTTTAATATCCATGAACAACTATAAGAAGCAGCTTAATATAGACTGAAATAGACCTCAGACTGCCTGATCTGCAGACGTCGCCTCATTAATGGAACTGAATTTGGTTTATTTAATATTAATCCACAACAAATGTCATTTGAAGAGACGTCATTGGCCAAACCTAAACTCCACTTCAGAAATATGAGGTATGATTTAACAACCTTTACTTGTGGGTCTTAATCTAAAAGATAGAAAGTGTTTATAATCCATCATTTAACTGAGATGGTTTATATTTCTCAAACTATGTAATTATTTGTGCAAAGCCGACTGATTTCCTCATTTAAGAAGTGTTTAATTCATTGATCCATAAGCAAAAGCCCTATAAAGTCAAAATGGAGAAGATTAACCTTACCAGCCAATAATATTCCCCTGTAAGTGCTTTGATCATTAATTTAAACCCCAGGAATTGTCTGCTAAGTATCCCACTTTAATTTATTTCCAGCACAAGACAATAGTCCCATTTGTTTCTGAGGCAGCAGGAGTAGCTACAGAACTTCACAGTTACGTCAATTAAAAATTAATGAAATAAAGCGGATTTAAGCAACAGTTCTCATGGCCGGCCTCTGCAAACAAACCAGCGGTTATTAAACGACTTCAAAGACGAGATCCATAAGGTGATTTTAACTTTCCAGCCTTTTAGTTGGATAAACTGTGTGGTTGCTGCTGTCGACTCTTTCATGGTGTACCCATAACTAAATTTGTTGAGAGGTCATCCATGTTTGGATTGGTGAACTGCAGATCCACTTGAGATCAAACGCCTACTTAACACCACAGTCCAAAATCCCTCCCTAGTTTTTGAATGCCTTATTTACTTGAGCCTTATTTCCTGAGCTCTATTACAGACAAAATAATAAACTTATAAAATAAAAACTTATTATAGTATTTCGTGTTTAAGCTGGAGGTTAAAGTCAAAGCTAGGGAAAAGTTTGGGCTTTAGGAAATGGTTGCAATGGATCTATGAACAGGAAAAGTCCGGAGGTCTGAGAACATAGGGGCCAAAAAAAGGCCATATACACACATTTACACTCTCTTTGCGAAAACCTTTTAACTTTAATGATCCATTTTCTTCCTGAAATTGGAGGAAAATCCCCACAGGCTGCAAATTCTACTGCAACGCTTTTAACTAACTGGCAGCAAATCTGTTGACTCAACTTAAACTTTGGTATCAATCAAGAAATGCTTGAGTTTCCCATCTGCAAACCTTAACTTTTAATAGTGGGGACTGAATGCACCGACTCCGTATCCTAATGCATCTTTCACCGAGAAGATAGGGGCGAATGAATGGTTCATTGAGAGAATACAAGATGGGGAGGCTGATGGCATGCACAAGCAAGGGAACGCTTCAGCTCAGCTGAGCCAAGATGTTTCAGTAAAACAGTGTGCTGCATGTCAATAAGGTCCTAATCTGTGAGCGAGGAAATCCATCAGCCAGCATAAGGGCTATATAAGCAAATGGTCACAAACCTACAGCTGACTGAGTCCTTAAACATAGGAAATCTTCTGAAGAACATGATATCATTGTGACCTTCAGGGTTCAGGAGCAGTTTATATAGAACATCTTATCATAATACATCCGTTTATGGAAAACCGAGGAGAACTGTTTCGGTGATTAAATTACTTTCGGGTTGGATCTTCTTCCTTAATAAAGACTAACAAACAAACAAAGGAAAGCTCAAATCAAAAGGACATCTAGATTATTTTATCCTGAATCAATTTGCTCATCTTAATGCTTCCTATTCTGTGCATCGAGAGCGTTTCAGGAGAACAATAGCTGTTTTCTCTGCGAGCATAAAGAGCCAGTGTTCGGCTTCATCTGCTTTCCAATTCCACTTCCGTGGCGGCACAAGAAATCTTAGAGCTGGTCTGTGACAGCCAGAGCACGCACTCGTCTGTGTGTGTACACACCACGGCCAGGGAACACACCCATCACACTTTGACACCATACTGTTAATAGTGAGTTTAACTAGAGTCCAAACAGAGAGGTTTAAGGCAGCATGTTTGTTTCTACTTTCTTCTTCTCAATGTTGTATTTTATGGCACTAGATTTAAAGGAATAGTACACCCAAAACATGATTAGCCTTCATTTTCTACTCAGCCCCATGCTGAACAACACTCTGGAGTACTTTTTTGATATCTCAAATGCATCTGGAGATCTGGGAGGCTTCTTGCTGTCTGCTGACATTCAAATAATGGAGGTCTATTGTGCCCGAGACAGAAAGGTCCATAAAAGTCCACAAAAACGTGTCAATATTCCTCCATACTGCTCGTCCAATGTATTCCAAGTGTCCTGAGTGGGTAGCGTCCATAATTTACTCGAAACAAAGTCATTTAGAATGTTTTTAGAGCATAAACAGTAGTGTATAGGATTTCCTGAAAGCGCGCGCCAGCGCGTTCACGAGCCTACGGAAGCCGGCAGACCAAACCAGATGAAAGTGCGCATTCAGCGTCTGCTCTGCCGATAATGCAAGCGTAGAAGAAGAAATGTGCTGTTTACCTGTGCAAAGAAAGAAACAACGAAAGAAAAATGTCTGAGGACTTCAGTGTTGAGGAAGAGCAGGAGTTCTTTGCCGAGCTGAATGCGCTGGTTTGGTCTGCCGGCTTCCGTAGGCTCGTGAACGCGCATGTGCGCGCTTTCAGGAAATCCTATACACTACTGTTTATGCTCTAAAAACATTCTAAATGACTTCGTTTCGAGTAAATTCTGGATGCTACCCACTCAGGACACTTGGAATACATTGGACGAGCAGTATGGAGGAATATTGACACGTTTTTTGTGGACTTTTATGGACCTTTCTGTCTCGGGCACCATAGACCTCCATTATTTGAATGTCAGCAGACAGCAAGAAGCCTCCCAGATCTCCAGATGCATTTGAGATATCAAAAAAGTACTCCAGAGTGTTGTTCAGCATGGGGGTGAGTAGAAAATGAAGCCTAATCATGTTTTGGGTGTACTATTCCTTTAAGTCTTATTTTCTTTCATTTTAACATTTATATTTATTTTGATCATTCCTCCCTTTCGTTCTAACTTTGGTCAGCATTTGTTTTATTTATTTTTTTCTTAATTAATATAAAGTGCTTTATAGATTAAGTTGGGTCGGGGCTGTTTGTTCAGAGAGTTATGAATGAACTCATCAATCTCATGGCAATCAGCTGTGTAAATCTACACAGCGGACTCAAAGCCACATAAAAACATGTCAACACCGAGGCAGGTTTAAGACTCCTTCCATCATAAAGGTAACACACAAACAGCATCATAAACACTGACCTGCCTGACAACCACATTAATTCACCCTTCACAATCCCCGATTTTGCTTCTGCACATGTCAACCGTTCAGTTTCTTTTAAAAACGTCAGCCAGAGGCACAGACAAGCGCCGATAAAGACAAACACTACATTCTGTGCTGCAAAATGTTCCCTACCTAACTGTAGTGATTTATTTAAAAACAATTAGAGGAAAACAAAGATTCTTTAATCAATTTGGCATCATAATCTGAATTTCTGTTCATGTCTGTCTACAAACATCTTATTACCAAAGAGCCATAGACAACAGGGTCAATGTTAACACTGGTTTAAATCCTAGAAACTACTGAGACCACAGCCTCATGAGGGCTTCACCACAAGCTCAACTGGTTTTAAATGCAGCCACCAAACTATCAGCGTTCCCTTTTCTGTTTCCAGGTGAGAGGTCAGAGGATTGTCAGACGGATTAAGCAGCATTTTACAGCGTCCTGTCTTTGCATTAGATCCATGCAAAAGCAATACATCCAGCTGGATCGAGATAAAACTTATAGTGATCCAGCAGGATTAGAGTCACGAGTCTATGTTCATCCCCTACGGAAAATCATTTTAGACCTTTTTTGGATTTTGAAAGTTTATATTGATTATAAAATATTTTTTAAACACAGCATAAGGAAAACGGGGTCAAAATCAATGCTCAATTCCCTTAGTTCACGGACTTAATAAACTTAATTAAATATCGCAAAAATTGATTTCAAAACAAGCAATATTTTAATAGCTTTGGTTATGGCGAGGGCAGCAACACAGTCTTATATCATGAATCTAAAACCTCAGTGCCTGAGATCTGGTAAAGGTTTTTTTTTTCGCTTAAAGCCTGAAAGTATTGTGCAGGATTTTCATGAATTTTTTAAAAGACCCACCCACCCTCTCCACTTGAAAAACGCATGTGCGTGCAGGAGGAGAAATAGGCTCGTGGACGCTCTGTTTAAAAGTTGCCGTTGCTGTTACTTCAATGACAGTCTTCAATGACTGAAAGTGTGCATGCGCAGAAAATTATAGCTAACGGGACGAGCACGTAGGACGGCCGTACATAAACATCACCAGAATGATTGGCAATTATCTAATTGTCAATCCCACTTCTTTAGATGATCCAGCCGGAAATAAAATATCGTCCTCTATACCTTTAACAGCCTTGTGGCCAAATATATCCTAAAATGATCTTTTCTCACAACATGTTTTGTTTTTTTATTCTCTCAGGGGGCATTTTGGGGTCTTTTTTAAGGAAGCTACAAATCTTGGTTAATCTTAAAGATACAAACATTTAGGAGCAGGGGAATCTTTCTAGTATTGGTTAATTTTGGCATAGTACTGTGGACCGGGACCCAGGGGTCCAGCCAAGTCTCACTGAAGGTAGGCTTTGGTTTTTGTGCATTTTTAGCTGTTTCTGAACAGCAAGAACAGCTCCTCTACAGATATCGGTCAGAATTAGCAAAAGACCTCAGAGAGGTTATTAATATGGAATAATTCAATACCGAACAAGTATAGAAAGAAAAGTGAATCATGAATCTTTCCAAATAGACAGCCTAATCTACAACTGATATCAATATAAAATATCCTGGATTTCCTTAAGGTATTATTGAAAAAAAAAAGAAAAAAAGAACTGCACTGAAATCCCAAATCTCCAAATGGTAACTCATTGCAGTATTATTGATCTCTGGGAGCACAAAACCCAAAGCAATATAAAGCTGATGTAATGAGGGCAGGATAATATATACATAAGGAGCAATTAGGATGCAGGTGAACACTACACTAAGTTTAGAAGGAAAAACAAACACCCGAACTAGCTAAAATTAATCATCATGGATTATTTAGAAACCTCTTCATCCGTTTCCAAAGTACTTAAAACATTTTAAATCTGTGTTTCTTTAAAGCAACAGCAGACCCCTAAACAAAAGGCCTTTTGCCAGAAGGGACCAAAAAAAACTGCTTTGATGGTGATGATGCAAAAGAGGGATGCAGGAGAGGGATTCAGCGGGGGTAAATTACCTGATGGTGGGTTGGTCGAGGGCCCGTAGCAAACTGGTGGGGGAGGGAGGAGAGGTCCAGCAAGGAGAGCGAAGCAGTGATGGCAAAGCGGGGAGAACAGAGAGCAGAGGAGACACAGATACAGTTTAGGATGAGCGATGGAGGCACAGGCTTGGAAATACCATAGAATTAATACCACAGAGCAAAGCTTTGAAGATCCAAAGCATAAAACATATTAAATAACTTCATTCTTTTAAATTCAACCTCTTCTAAATACAAGACAGAATAGATTATTATGAAGCAAGCGTTGGTACATCATGGTCTGATGAGTTATGAGACTTGGAGAAAAATAAATTATACCTTGATCGGGTTGCTGATGTTGAATTAACGTCAACTATATGTTGCAAATTCTTGATGCATTTAATACATAAAAATTTTTTTTTTTAGCACATCACTGCATAAGAACAAAAGTACCGTATTGTGCAGTAGAGTTAAAATTGTTTAGCATTTCCCGCAAAACAATGTAATTCAAGGCTGAAATAGGTCTTCATTAATAAAATGGTTATTTAAGTCAGTAAAGCACAATTTTTCTGAAAATCACCAAAAAAAAAAAAGTACAAACACCACAAAGGTTGAATTCTTTTTAAAGGAAAGTTGATGTTATTTATCGAGGCATTGATCTTCAGCTGCTAAATCATCCTGTCAGATGAGAGCTTATACTAGTATCAGAATCCATCAAGCAGGGAGAAAATATTATAAATAGACAATGGGTGCATTTAAAAAAAAAAAACAAAAAAAAAAAAAACGATTGCCATAAAACCTAGCATTCAAATAGTCATTTGCAATGTTGATGTTATTAACTTTGATAGTGGGACAAAGCAGACTGAACAAGTTTTTGTGTTTGTTTAAGTGAAGGGAAGCATTTGGGGAAATCTTTAAATAAAGCTGAGTTTGCGGGACAGTTCAGGGGTGTTGGGTTTAGTAAGACCACAGGAAACCCAGAACCGTCTCTGGGGTGTCATTAAAACTGTAAACCACACAATTTAGCCATTCTGAAACAATGCACTTCTAAATTTCCCTGTTAAACTGTGAAACTGGCCTATTTCTAGCTTATTTATCTGCTGCATGCATGGTTGAACTGCAGGGACCAGGGCAGGTTTCTGTGGGCCGTTATCTATTGTAATAATTCACTTGGAAGTGATCAAGTGTTACAGCAGCTAAAACACAGCTTTTATTCTGACCAGAAACGCCTCCAAAGCGAGAGACCCAGATGTTCTCATTGGGGAAAAAGCTTTTTTTCCCCAGTTATTACCTTTCCCTGGAGTTTTCAGTGACGTTATATGTCTAACTTTTGTGAAAGAATCATTGGTCAGTTGCTGAAGCTTTTATTTCTTAATGCTCCCATACTATTGAGCGAATTAATTCCTCGGATGTTTGCGCATCCTGGAGGCACGCACAACGCTGTCAACGCGGATAATGCACCATAGCTCCATTTTTTTCTCACCTTCAAATAACTGAAAACATTTCTTTACATCAAACTGTTTTAAATGCAACATCGAGCTGTAGGGATGTAGAAACAGAACATGCAGAATGCGCCCGACTATGGGAAAACAGAAAGTGATAAGGACAAACCTATCGATATAAGTAAGGTGGGAGGAGCTACGGTTTAGTTTGTCACACTTCATAAATTGCTTAATCTAGTTGACGATTGGTGTTTTAATCGAATACCGTGCACTGGAGCTGAGCCATGTAACAGTTAATTGAATGATAAGAAAACGGTACCAGCAAAAACTCATTTCCTGTGTGCTATCAGCAATAAGAAGGATCACAAATTGCTCATTAGGAAATAAAACAGCTTCACTAAATTAAAACAACTTTGTGTAACTTCAAATTTTGATCAAGCTAACATTTGATCTCTCAGTGGTTTCTAGGCTCAAGGTTTTTATTCCCCCCTTTTTGTAGAGATGGCGGTCTTCTAATACAGTCAGAACAGCTTAAACTGTCTGAGCCGAGTCGGCAGGAAATGGGAAAACTCACCGGGCGACTCTGTGGCTGTGCATTCATTGGCTGTGTTTGGTGAGAATACACTAAGGAAGTGGAGACAGCGTTTTGCCCGGTGTTATACGGTGACTGTCAAAAGAAGAGAACAGAAACAAGCAGGCGGCAGTTTAATACAGAATAAAAAGAACAAACAAAAAAATTGATCAATGATGACATTTTAAAACATAAAGGCGTTAAAAACTACAACAATACAACTGGTGGTTTCTGGTGGGAAAAGAGGTTTTCAGAGGCTTATGTACTCAGCAAAGATAATTGGTACCCAGAAGGACTCCAAATCCTGTGTTGCTTTATTCTTCATCTGATGCGGCACAGGAGGGTTTAGACAGAGCTGCGATTCTTTAAGCTGCTGCTGCTGTGTTATGATAATTGTAGTTGGTTTTAGCTGACCCAACTATTTATAGAATGCTGCTGAGAGACATCAGCTGCTTTAGGGTGAAGCAGAGCGGGGGGGGGGGGCAGAGATGGTTAACACAAACAACTGGATTCCTCACAAGCGGAGTCACACACCAACAGAGATGCTGAGTCACTGTGTCAGGATGACGGCTGCACCTCAGGTGGCAGCGGAACGACGACATCACTGACTGTGTTTCTGTCTTTGGGATTATTGGCCTAACCTTGTTCGTTGGTTATTGTAAAACAATAAGCTGGTACCAACGCCTCAATGGAGGGTGAGAGCAGAGAGTATTTTATCATACATCCCAATTACAGGTATTTCCCCCCCTCAAAGAAATCTCAAAATTACTTTAACAGATGAGGATCTTTTGTTTGGGATGGAGAAATGTGAACATGTCAAAACAGAATTCTTATATGTTGTTAATTCTTTTTATTATTTATGGTAAATATCATATACACACCTCTAAATATTTACAACAAAAACCTAATTTCCAGATTTTACTATCTTCTATTAATATCTATATAGAATCCTTAGAATTCAGTTCAAATGCTGAAGCCATTAAAATCATAACTGCCCTTAAAGATTTGCAACCCTCGAGCACGGATTTGATTTTGACATTGTAAAATTGCTCTGTTTTATAAAGCCCTTTGATATTGTATCTGTTTGTAATTAATAATGTTCTATAGTGTTCTTTTATGTTCTTTTTTTGCAATAAAAAAAAAAAAAAAGTATTTCCCCCCAGAACTATACAGGGCCTATAAAACTAAATATTCTCCAATAGCATCTCATTGAAAACAAACCTCTGAATTTTTTCGTTGTTATGTGAATTCACTAATGAAAGTGAAATTTGTGTCGATTCATCGCACAGTAATAGGGCTAAAACGTACATTACTGTTATAAAAATGACTAAACTTACAGCTAATTATATTTTTTGGCCTAGAAAACCTAATTTCATCATGAAACCAATAAAAACAAAAATGAAGTAAAAAAACTGAAATGCTGGCTAACTAAAAAGCATGCCTATATACTACATCTGATGCATTGGATGATGATCAGACGACCAGCCTTAATGCTGAACAAACCCAGCTCTAACGGTAGATTCAGCTCATCTGCTTGCTGGCTCCGTTTGTCACCTTCCTCTTTTCGAAACCTCATGAAGTATTTAAAGGGTTTAAGTTTGGTCCAATAAAGAAAATTAAGATTATGGTCATTTAACCAACTAATGGAACTTATGGCTTTGTCAGCAGGTACCACATCCTGCTGGAAATTAGGCCAGTATTTCCATGAAGCTTGTCAGCAGAAATGTTCTGATTATGCAGATTTCATACTTGATAAAACACGGCCGACTAATGGCAATGAATGACATGTCTTCCCAAGTCATCACTGTGGAAATGTCACACTGGATCTCAAGTAACTGCCTCCCCACTTGCTCTGTCGTTTGTGCACATTTGCCTTCCGCAGATTTTCCTTCCATTCACTTTTTGATATGCTCGGATACAGACGTCTGAACAGTCAGCTTTAGAGCAATGACCTTTTGTGCCTTAACCTCCTTATGGAGGGTGTCAATGACCGTGTTAAGTCAGCATGTTTCCCCATGCTAGTACAGGCTATAAAGTAGAATACAATCAAATTATTTCTTAATGGCCTTTTAGAATGCATTCCTTTTCTGACACTGAATTTTACACATTCAAATTTCTGCAAAACTAATATATCAGACTTTGTCTAAATATTCTTTATTGTATAAGTTTCACTTTTTGAACAGAATTCCTGAAATAAACCTTTGAATGATAGTTATTATGTACTATCAACATACTAAGGTGCAGCTATACATGTAACATCTACCCAAAAAGCACCTGGATAGAAAATCCACCTCAGAGATAATCTGTAATGAGAAGAACGGCGCATGCGTGTCATTTTTCCATCGATGACACGCGCTGCCACAAGGGCCATTGTGTCCTTTGAAACATCAAAACTTTGCGGAAAAAGAAAAGGTTGCTGATGTTACGCTTGTTACAGGGTTATCTAATTTTAGGTGTCAGACTGGATTGTGACTCATCAGGATTAACTTTCAGAAGACATTTGATTTCCTCCCACTGAAGACAATCTATCCAATTTACAAAATAACTTGTAAAAGTACAGCAGCGTCAGAACTGCAGTGGAAGAATCAGATAGAACTGAACTTCTTGCTGAAAGGAAATGTTTTTGTTTTGTACTTATGTTATTTAACATCTGATATCACCCGTTACTAACGGCTGTGCTTCTGTCTGTCAGTGTCCCTCGGTTCAGACGTGTTTGAGCGTCGCAAAAGGTTCAAGCCGCTGTCATGTTTAGTTGAAGACTGAACATGCAGACATGTTCAGTTCTCACATTACTGGAGAGCACAGCATGCCTGAGAGCTGCTGTAGACTTTGATCTTGTTATGATTGGATACAGTTACATTGAGTCAGTGCGGTCATGCACATGATTCTAAGCCGGAAAAGAAAAACAATGAGATAAAAAAAAATAAAAATTAAAAAAAAGCAGGAAAAAACATGAAAAATAATTCAACAAAAATATCCAGCAACTGTACTCCGTGATGAAGTAGACGCATCTTTAGAAGGACTTTGTTATTTTTCCTGACGAAGTTAAAAGTAAAAGCTGTGTTAGTGTAAATGTTTCAAAGAGGTTTATTGATATCAGGGTTCATACACATTTCAAAAGGAATCTCTTAGACTTAAAGTCGTAGGGAAGCCAATGGTTGCAGTAGGGCTGGGCGATATAGAAAAAAAGCTTATCGATAAAAAAAAATGCATATTGATCGATATCGATAATTATTGAAAAGATTTGAAACCATATTTTATGTGCAGCTCTGCCTGGACTTTTTATGATCTTGCTAAATGATTTAATTTTAATAAAGAACACAAACACAGACTTCCAATTAAATATTTATTTAACCAACTTTTTTAACCATAACAGAATTGTTTTAAAGAAAAATAACTTAAGAGACCTGAGTTATGTTATTAAATACTGACAAAGAATAAACTAAAGTGACCAGAAAAGAGACCATTTAAATAAATAAATGGGACCCCCCCCCCCCCTTCATTCTTCTAAGCTGAGTTTCCTGCTTTAACCTGAGTTATCACTTTGAAGTTGCTGGCCCCTCAGTATTTTTCTCTCAATTGTTAGAACTACATGGGAATCTGCCCAGAACTGAAAAAAAGAAAAAAATCTTGGGTAATTTCCCGAAATTCCCCAAGATTCCTCGGAGGAGAGCCACAGCTCGTACTCCTGCGGGTGTGAGCGGCTGAGATGATAAAAAAAAGTTGGTTGTGTTATCAGACTTGGTTTTCACTGGTTCCCGACACATTTTCCAGATGACTGTGGTTTGTTTTTGGTCCGACTTGCCATGACCGAAATACTGCCGAACTGGCGAACTACAAAAACCCTTCTTTGAAACAATTTCCTCCGCCTCTCCTTGCTGCAACATCTTCATGCTCTGTGTTGTGGTTTGAGAGGGCGGCGCTTGGTGACGGCGTGCCTGGGTCCGCGATTGTGATTGGTTGGGAGGAAGTAGTGACTAGCATAAACCTACATGCTAGGCTACAATGAGAAGGAAGGAAAACTGCGTTTCTTTTTTATCGAACTTTTATCGACTCTCTTTTTTTCTATTGAGCCACACGTCTATCGATCGATATATATTGTTATTGAATTATTGCCCAGCCCTAGTTGCAGTTCTGAATTCTACCGAGTGGTGACGACTTTACACGAGTGAATAAAGTGAATGTGATTGGTCGATTATCAAGGGGGCGGGATTGTTGGGGCGGAAGGTCAGCAAGCCGGTTTCTCTGAAGATTCTTGCTAACCAGTTAGCAACTTAGTGCTAGTAGGTTCCCAATGGGAAACATTGGGACCAAGTTGCACTAAATTGGTGACTTAGAAACGACACTGTCAAGGAACGCTATGGACAGCGGAAACATGCAAGAGTTTAGTGTCGGAGGTTCTGGATGAGTCTCCTCTGTCATGCACTTTTTATTTAGAGGAGGAAAGCGGGGACAAAGTATTTATGGAAGAAGGACGCCAGGGCGGCAGAAGCTTGGTTTGGTGTAGAAGGCTTACAGCCGTACATGTTTGGGCCCTTGCCAGTTCTGTTAGCTCTACGCCGAAGACACAGACATCCATCCCCGTGAACACTGGGACGGAACTCAATAGGAAAGTAAATTATTCTTATTTCCACCGTTGCGTATATTAGCTGCGACATATGAATCAAGATACTATGACAGAAAAAATTTGATTGACAGATGACCGTTGATACGTGATTGGCCGAATTTAGGTGTACAAGCTGACGTATAACTAACTGGCCTGCATAAAATAACAACAAAAAAAACGAAACAGATTTTAAGACAGGATTATTTTAAAAATAGAAATGTTCTACCTTTTGGGACAATATAGTCTGATAAAGATTACATTTATATACGTTTAAGCCAGAATGATTTGAAATTTAAATAGGACTTTCCTACGACTTCAAATATGAAAAACTTGTAAGGTATTTTCTGCACTATAAGGAGCACTTAAAAACCTTTCATTTTTTTGTTAAACGACAGTGGGCCTTATAGTGTGAAAAATACATAGAAATTCAATTTTTCTCTCTAAAAAGGTGAATTCATGACCCATTGCTGCCTTTTGTGAAGCTTTGAATATAAACTGTTTAAATACACACACTGGGAAGGGTTTGAAGACCTATTGCCGCAGTTTTTCAAACTATGACATGAGGAGTGATACACATTTCTTAGCCAAAATCCTTAAATCAAATTCCATCCTACACAGACAGGATAGGGTTCATTTTTCTTAGATAATCACCCTATCAACCTGTCAGACGACCCTTTATACCCGACAGAGAGAAGAAGGAATGAAAAGACTGACAGAGATGCAGAGTGGATGACGGCGGCCACAATGAAAAACTCACCCCTCCGCCTGCCTCCCAGCCCTTAGGGTAGCGATATTGGAAAGCTGTGGGTACTGATACCTGAGAGAGCGCTGGGGAGTGGGCATGACCAGGCGGCGTTCCCGCCAAGTTGGGGTGTCCCTTTGTGATGTCGTGAGTTGTGTAAGCAGGGCCAGGGTGCCGGGGTACCTGCGCAGCACAAAAAGCAGAGCAGTTAGCCAGCTAACCACGATAGGATCAGACAGAGGTATGCATGGCAGGAACAGCAGGGCCAGGATTTGACAGGTGATTACTCCGCCCTCCTGCTGAGGAGTAGAAATTAAGCACTCAAGGTGAAGAACTGTCCCTTGCGTGTGCGCAGCGGGGAAGGCCTGCAACCGCTGAAGCTTGCTGTGGTTGTGCACAAGACCACAGCCCAGAGTGTGCAGTGAGAGGATGCACAGACCTCAGATGGTGGAATAACTAGATTACAACCCCACTCATCTGTAACAGCTTAATAAGGCCATTTAGACAGTAATAGAGCCCTACACTATATAAAAGTAGCTTTAAAAAATAGTTGCAATGGTTAAAATGGGATCTAAACTATCTATGAAGAATAATAACGTGATTTACTTCTCTTTGAAAAGCATCCTAAGATGAAATCATCCAAATTTGGGCTTGATCATAGCTGATCCGACAACGAAAAACCAACTAGACTACGTGGATAAAATAAATAGGTTTATAGCTGAGTCGGTGGTGCAACACATTCAAATAAAATAGCAAAATAATCGTGTCATACATCAGTGCTGCTCTGTGTACAATCAGGTTTATCTCCAATGTAATAGAGTCTTAACATTTTTCCAAAATTTCCCAGAGCTCCTAAATATAAATCAGAGCCTTGTTATTGTAAAACATGAATGGAATGCAATCAGTTCTCCTACTATTCCTTTATTTTCTTTCAAAACTAAATAAAAAATAGAAACTTTAAAGATGTCAATCATTCCAAAACAAAGAAACTCCCATCTGTTATATGGGTAACCGTGGCTGATGCTTATTGCTGAGAAGATTTAAACAACAAAAACAGGGAATGTGTTTAGATCAGAAGTAAACTTACAAACTACTACTTTCCCCTCCTACAAAGGTTCATTTAAAGACTTAAAGCCCACATAGGATAACAGAGAAATTAAATGAAAATCTCAGATTTATTCCTTCTTAAAACTGATCCCACTCCCACAGAAAAAGAGGAAAGAGGATCAGCTGGTGATAAGGTTTAAAAGAACATTATTCCAAACAGATGACAAAACAAAGTGTTACAAAAAAATATTGAATAAACTTCCATCTATAAGCCAAGTTATCAAATGATCCACTAATCTGAAGACAGTTTTTGTCAGCTTAAGATCAAACTTAAACAGAACACTGCATCACAAAACACTAGTAATCAAAAGCTGGTATGAACAGATGTGCTATCGAACGGTATCAAATCAAATCTAAGCCCTACAGTACAGACATTCAAAATTCACCTAATATTTTAATCCATGAATGCATAGGTTTAGCAGTAGAAATTGCAACATAACTACTATAATCTCTATTTTTCTGACTGAAAGCAATACTTTTATTTGCAGCTACAGCGGCTGCAGTGATCTAATGTATCTACAGTAGAGATCTGTGCAGCATCTCTCCAGCATGGCCCACTTCCCTAACATGACCTGGGATAAAACCACTAGCTGCTGCTGCCAGGGGAGGAGCCTGCTCTACTTGAAGCCCATTCTAAGGACATACAGCGGAGAGCGAGCGGACGGATGGGGGAGGGGAGCTAAGCAGCTATATGGCAGCTGTACGTGAGAGGAAAAGGGGAAGGGGGGGATAAATAACAGTGACCAAGTAATCCCCACCTCCACCACACAGAACAACCATTCCATGTTTATTTCAACCAGTGTCGTCAGTGTTACGCTGAAACCACAGGAAAGCTGGAACATCTTGTAAAACCTTATCTGTTATAGTCTGTGTTGTAGCAGATAAAGCACCAGTATAAATAGGCTTTCTTCCAAGCAAACAGATGCGTTCCTTGTTCTGTTTGCAGTTACTCCACGTTCCTCCCTATTTTCTGAAATGTCTTCTATATGGAAAACAGATTCTCATGTAGAGAAGCTTCTCCAGCTTTCAACGTTTAGCTTTTCCCTGCTAAGCTGAAATAAAGGAGAGGCATCAATAAAATAGGTGCAATCTTTAGTTATATGCTTGATAAAAACAGGTCAGGAGCTACCACCCTACAGAGAAACTGAAACTAACATTCCAATCTTTTTTACAAGGGTCAGCAATATTTAAAAAGATACATTAAAAAATAATAAAAACAGTCGCTTTTAAAGAGATGGATGAAAAATTCTTAGTAGAATCTGAGCGATTTCTACACAGCAGGTTGGTTACTGGATATTCCCATTCAGCAGTATGTTACTGTCATGTCTCTTGATGTAAATGACCTGTCAGAGTCACTTCCAACTGACAGGCTTATATCAATGCCTATGCAGCTTTCTACCAAAGCTAATTACTACTCTCCAGGGGAAAAATATAAGTACTACTTTTCCCCATTTAGAACGACAAATTCAAAGCCCCTTCCCTGCAAACTATTTATTATATTTGCAAAAGGTGTGAGCTGTTTTTCCAGTTCAACAATCCACGAGGTATTAAAATTTCTTACAGTAGGAGATGGGTTCTAATGGCTCCTACATTCGTTACCAGTTCTTGTTAGTTAGTTTTGGTCATTCTTGACTCCTCTGGAATTTGTACCGGGAGTTATCAGCCGATCTAAATTCTGTTATAAAACTCCAGAATCCACCAAAATCTGGATCTATTTTAATGATTCTATCAATGAATCTCAGGCCTTCCCCGCAGTTCTTGACCCAATCAGGGATTTGTGAAGCAGTGTGTTGTCATGTGGGTATCTCTTCTCTGAGTGACAGGTCTAATCCTGTAGAGAAGCTCATCAAACATATGGGAAGGCATTCACATATCGGGCTTGATTTAAAAAAAAAAAAAACTATTCTAAATATATATATATAAAAAAAAAAAAGAATAAAGAACACAGGAACACTGGCATGTGCAAAACTGATCTACTGATAAGGTGCAAATCAAAGTGTGCCTCTAAACTGAGCTGAATAACTGATATTGATGTTTTAGCAGGTTTGCTTTGATGAATAAAATCATATGCTGATGATTAAAATTCGCAAATAATGAGGCGGACGATATGCAGATGTCAATAACTATCCTACACACAGCGATCTTTCAAACCTCAAATTGTTTTCTCATCTAGATTTAACACGTTTGAAAGTCCGGAGCAAATTTAAACGCAAAAATATCTGCGGTAACTGTGGTCAGAATGGAGGCCTGGTTTTGACAACGGATGGCGAGAGAGAGAGTCTGTGTGAACATATCATGACAGCCAGAAATAACAACACTAGAGTCATATTAAAGAGAAAAAAGGCGCCTGCGTAGGACAGTTTAATACTTTGGGAAGAAAGCCATCTTTAAGTTGAATCATAGTTAATCTGTTCCACAACCAAAACACACTATGACTTTGCAGAATCGCCTGCATTTTTCTGGCATTACATCCTGTGCAGGCATTCTGTATACAGACAGCAGCTTTCTGGCTAATGCATCCCCGTCCAGGGTGCTTCATATCATGGCAGTGAAGATATTTTTGAACCAAAGACTCTATAAAAACAAAACTTTGTGACCCGTTAATACAAAACTGATAGCAGAACTATATGAGATAACCTGTGGGACACGTTTTGTCTGATGTGATCTTTGGGCTCCTCGGTCCAGTAAGATGATAAGAGATCTGCTGATAGCTGAAACTAGGCTGAAGCTGGGGTGCAGATTAATACTCTTTTAGATATGGGATGATTTAGTATATTTAGGTAAATAAACACAGTGCATCACCTGTGTTTAAGTCTGCACTATTTCTCATTTTCTGCTCTCAGCTTCTGCATCAGTCTGTTGTAGTAACCATGTTCCAGCCTTTTAGCAGCTGGAGCTATGGTCCAAGCCACCACCAGGGGGCTCTTCATCTCTGAAACAATTGCAGGGCCAGTGATACAGGTGATCGCACACCTATTTTAAAAGTGATGGATAAGCAGGTGTGACAGCTTTTTTTAACCATAAACAAACTGTTAAGAATTAAAAAGTATAATTTAATCGTTCCTAACTGTTTGATGCTTCTGGCATAAAGTCAACCAACGTGCAATATTCTTAATCTATTCTTGCAAATCGTACTTAATTCCTAACATTATCCATATTATCTTAATATTGAAAGTTTTGAAACCTTTTACTTTTGGGCTTCTTTGTCTCAAAGAAATTGGATTCTTCCCCCAAATAATGTCTACATGACCACTAAACCGTGTATACAGCCCTGTTATAGATGCAGACTTGCTGATGTAAAGAATGCACAATAGTAACTGGGTTGGAGATCTGAAGTTTAAGGCCTCTGTAGAGGAAAAATGAAGAGGGATTCTGTTTTTCCTCATCGCTGCGAGTTCAAGCACACATCCAGAGTGAAACAAGTGTGACTTTATGAGAGGAAAATGGGCAAATATTGTCAAGACAGGATGTGGCTTGATGATGGATTCCTAGCACAGCGACTAAACACAAAAACTGAAGTAAAGGTTGATTCAGCAAACTATTAGCTTAGGCCTGTTTGCATTCATGCACGCCCTTAAACTAAGGTATTTGCTTGATTGTTTTTTTCAGTTGAATCATACAGTATAAATATCAGATTTTATCTCAAACATTAGGCAGTTTAGAAGGGTGTGTATAGACCTGTGAGGCACAGCTTCTGTGTCTGATTTCCTTCTTTTTACTTAAAAGCGGTGTCAGTAATCGGCTTTCCACTACTCTATGAAAACAAATTTAATTTCCTTAGTTTTACATTCGATTTTAATCACTAAATACTCTAAGAATCATAATCTAAGTTCTCTAGAAAACATTTTTAGAGAAAAGGAATCAAATATGTTGATAATATTGACCTCCAATAAAATTATGGCAAAAAGTAGAAACAGTGCAGGGTTAATAGAAGCTAAGCTTTTAGTAAAAGGCAAATAATATTTAAAGTAACTCTGCAAATAAGGCCAAGTATGTTTTATCAGGAGGCTTTTGTTGAATTAGGTCTCTCACATTCATAGAGCTGGTGGAAAGGTTACTTAAATGAATTTGCCTAATATGCTACAAAAGCAAATGAGATCAGGTGCATCTTAATATACTTTAAAACAGCATCAAAAGGTTTGCTTTATTTTAGCATACGAATTCAAATAAATAGAGCTCATGATTTAAAGCTTAAGTACTGGTGGAGCAACTGTTTATTTTTCATGATTAGGGGTTACAGCTAATAAAAAACACATTTTGGTTTCTCTGACCATTCAAATTTCATAAGATCAATACAAAAAAGATGATGCTGCGGGCTATAGTATAGGGAAGAAGAATGCTGAGTTGATAGATGCCCAATAGACACTCACACCTTCCAAAAGGTCAAGAGCAAAGAAACTAGTTGATCATAGTTATAAACGGCAGAATACTCTTAATGAAAGGAGTGACAGGAGAAACCAACAGGATTAACCACCGCCATAAGAAGTCTGAAGACTATGGCCTTTAAAAAGTTTCAGGAAGATCAAAAAACATGAGCTGAGGCTCAAAACATAAACAGCAACCATTACTAGGATTTCAATGTTTACATGTCCAGTAATATAGTCACTATTATTTGTATCGTCCACATTTGTTTCACTGGACAGTCTGCTTTCCTACTCTAAGCGAACAGCAGCAAAGTTTACTCCCAGCAGGGTTTACCGACACTTCTTGCTTGCTCAGCACCAGAGGTCAAATCATCCTTTATAGCAGCTCTTAGTTAGCAGGCGATCTGAGGAACCAAACCCTGCAGAAAGCAACCTAAAAGCTACAACAGCACCAAAAAGCTAAAGGCATTGCTTAAAGAAACCTTGCCATCCTTATAACTGCTCACCACTGAGGACAGTTTGCCTTCATTCAATGCTGCACTGATGCAGTAAGTCATGCAAAAGGATCCAATCCATTGATAAAAGCAGGTACTGTAATTTTCATGGACGTTCAATTCAGTTTATTTCTATAGCGCCAATTCACAACATGTCATCCCAAGGCACTTTATAATAATCCAGTCAAATTGATTCAAAGTTTTCTATCTAAAGAAAACCAGTTCAATCATTTCCATATTAAAAAATAATCTACCTAATAATCAAAATTAAAAGAAATAGATCACTCCACATGCTAAACACGCACTTAGATGTGAATTACTGAAATCACTGCGATTAAAATGATTTGAGATGAAAACACTCCCCTCATGTCAGCATATGACCAATCATTGTGAAGAACCGTTTTTAGAAAGTGAAGCTGATCATCAATCATGGGAATCCTCAGTAAATTAACCTCACATAAAAAATCTAATTATTTCTTGATGTCACTTGTTTGAACATTTATCTAATTTCTTATAAGTTTTATGTCATCTCTTGCCCTCTTCTCACCAAATTTATGCATTTACATGACACCTTTACTGTTTGTCTAATCCGGGAGTGCTCTGGAAGATAAGGAAGTGTGCCATGATTGGGATTTTCTGGTTAAGTAAAAAAAGGAAAAATCGGAGCATAGAGACTCACGCTGTAGACAGCGACTCCAGGCTGAGTGGAGAAGAGCCGTTCGTCTAGTGAAGACTGAACTCGAGGGATTCTGGGGAGGGCGTGTCAAAGAAAAAACCCGTCATCCAATTAAAAAAAAAAAAAAAAACTGAAACAAGTTTCCTGTTAAAGAGTCTGACGGCTTGGCAGGTAAGAAACACTTAGAATCAGACCAGGACTGAACTCATTCTTATAACGTTTTGCAAAAAAGTTTAGCGTGTGTCAGACGGGGGACTAAACTATGAGAAAAGAAAGAGTTTGATTTGCTTTAACTTTTGGAAGAATTTACAGGAAAGGGATATCCCTAAACCCCAGTGGCTTGCATAGTTAATGTGATGAACCCCCACTCCCACCCAAAATGCCCCATCTCTCAGAGAACAGTATGTACCTTCAACATTTTGCAAGAGTTAAAAGGAAAATCTGACATGGATTTCTGGGTTTATTCATGCAGGATGACTGCCAAAGAAAAGGATTAGACAACTGTTCAGCCTTAACACAGGGAGATCACAATATGGATGCTTTAGCTTCTCATACTGTTGATAGAATAATAATGGTAGCTCATAGATTCCCTGACGACTCATTGAAAATGCAAATCTATATCGCTTCTGGCTTTATGACGGCCAGGGTAACTTTCTTTTACAGCTTCTGAAACATGTAATAATGAGCCTCTCTGGGTAGATATCGGTCAGATGTCCGGACGGACGAAAGGGGGAATGTGTGATATTCACACAGCAGAGGGAAGCCCTCAGATTAGTAACCTGCTCAGGCAGCCGACTGTGACAGGCAGCCTCACACGCCACTGATCACATGGTTTAAGGGAAACAGAACGTCTGGCTTTCTTCCTTTCACCCAAATCACGCCTCCTCCTGCCCTGAGCTCTCCTCCTTCGCACTGCTCCTGCCTGAAGGGGCCCATCATCTCTGCTGGACCCCTGCCAACACCCCCTACTCAGAGAGAACAGAGGGGGGGGGGGGGGGGGGGGGGGGGGGGGGGGGTTTGTTAAGAAAGTGAAGAACCCTAAATAAAAGGCGGCGGTTCAAAATGAAGAGGCGCAGCAGGAAACATTATCTGTTGCCACCTCTACTTCTAGACATGAGGAGAGTTGTAGTAATTACAGGCTGACTTTCTCCACAACCATATGATAGTTTAGGTGGGTGGGAGCAGAAAACGCTGCATAAAGATAATTTTTACTATTTGTTTCCTTGAACTGAGCTCTAGAGGGGGAAAAGGATCCTGAGACGGTAACTTCAGAAAGGCTGATTCCTTAATGATTCACACCGTCTGCAGCACCCGAGAAAAGCAGCCCTCCAAGTCATGAATACGACTATTCATGACTCACTGTCACAAAAATAAGTCAATATAAAAGAAACAACGTCAAAGACTATCACCTCACACTGGAAAAAATAAATCTAAATCTAGATAAGTAATTTTTTTCTTAAAATAAGTACATTTGTTCTTGAATTGAGAATGTAAAAGGGAGGTTTTGCCAATGGAACAAGACAATTTACATTTAAAATAAGAAAGCGCAATTGCATTGTCTTATTTCAAGTGCATTTTATCTAAATATCTTATTTTAAGAGTAAAAATACTCATTCCACTGGCAAATTATCTCATTTACCTACTCAAAATTAGGATAAATAAACTTAATTTGAGAAATTTCTACTTATTTCTAGATAGTTTTTCCAGTGCAGCATTTGACAGTGTAAACATATGACAGAGATTTTAATTGTTGTCTGAAGGGGAAAAACAATCAAAATGACTTTTCTGGACTTTCTTTAGTTAAAAAGAAAATCAAAAGTTGCAAAATCTGAATGCAAGCAAATGGAGCTTTTGGCTCTATGCTACCGCTGGCTGGCAGCAACAACTGGCCGGGAGGTGAACCCAGGTTAATACGGCACTGAGCAGGTGCATTTTCACCTGCAAGCAAGGCGCAGACACAGGCAGGAAAAACAGATGCAAAAATCAATCAGATGAGGTCAAGAAATCTAGGGAGGAAAATCAGGACTGTTTCTTCTAAGAGAAGCCACATGGCACAAAGCCAGCATGCAGATTTCTGTTTCATCCGTAGGAGAAAAAAAAATTACCAAAAAGAAAAAAACCTGCAGTGGTGCAATTGACACCAAAGCATCACTTATTCATATGTTGAACTCCATCTCTCTAACAAATAACCCTCTGGGAAACAGTCTTCCTCAGAAAGTGGTTATTTTTGCTCAATTGTTCCGCTCTCTCCTCTGTTACAGAGTTTCTTCAATATTAAAAAATGCCACTAAATGTTTAGAATATAAAAAGAAAGAGACTGACATCAAATTCTGACTGGCTTTAACCATCATTATCAATATTTACTGTATGTTACAAGAAATAATGGCTTCTTAAAGGATAAAGGAGTGTCATACCACAAGATCAAATGCCTTGAGGTGAAATATCATCCTAATCAAGCCCTCCTACAGGATAACTGTGCAACCAGAGATGCAGATCCTTCAAAGATACATACTGAACGTCTAAGTCACAAACCAAGCCCAAAGAAACACAGAAATAATTAGGTTCTGCAGAGGTGAAAATACAAGCATTATGGAGAAATGTTTAGCAATGCTGTTCCAAGGCTAAGGTCAGTGCACCTAGAAAAGATCTATGGAAGTGAAGAAAATAACTGAAATCTAGTCAAAATGTGCTTTGTTAATCCTTTCAAAGGAAATTCGCTTTCATGGTGGAAAGAAACACTGAGGAAACACGACTAGGGTTAACATTATGACCCTTAGTTCATTTAATAGGAACTTTTTATTGATCTAAATTAGGGGTGCAGCTTTTAATTGTTTTAATAATCAATTGTTCTAGTGATTACTTTTTCCAATAATGTAAGAAAAGATCTTAGTAAATAAAATAAAAAATGTGGGAGCATTTTAAACTGAAATATAATTAATATGCATTTTAAATAGCAAAAAACACGCAAAAAAAGATCTACACTATGCTGGGAATATGGCATTTCAATAAATATAAGAAAATACATTTAAATAGATGTATTCATGTATGCATTATTCACAAGTTTATCTGGTTTTAATTTGGTTCATTTAGGTATTACCTACATAATTTCACATGACTGAGATGTGATAAAGTAAAATTTAATTAAGGTTGCACATTTACACTCAGACAAAATTAATCTGTCAAAGTGCCTGTAAATATTTCATTAAAATCTTATTGGGATAAACAGATGTCAAATATCACATTAAACAGCTTTAAGTTGGAGTTGCTTTGTCTTTTCTATCAGTTCAGGGCTTGACGTTAACCATCACCCGATCGCCCGGGGCAAGTACTTTTTATTGTTGGGAGAGTACAAATTTCAGTGATCGCAAAAAAAATTATTTATCACTCAAAATTACTTTAAAATCACCGACATTAGCTGAAAACGACCCAGCCGGCGCCATTTTTGTTGTTTTGTTTACATTCTCGCGCGATTTGAAAAAGCCGCGAGATTTTCCGCCAGATGGCGTGATTTTTATCAACCTAGTGGTAATTTTGATGTAGTTACCAAAACGACAAACAAGCTAGAAAGCGCTATCATATGGCAGTCTTCTGTACAGTGGTCATACATTAAAAAATGTTCATTCATTTCTTTTCTCTCAGACATTGGAGAGGTGCATTTAAATGTTATAGAGCTAAACATGTTAAATTGGTGACCTGTTATGTTATTATTATTGTCTTGTTGCTGCATTTATTTTGTCAGGGAAAACTAATCCTCAGTCAGTTAAAAGTCAGGGAATTCTGCGATTATGTAAGACTGTGGAAACCCTGTATAAAATAACTGTATAATGATTCTCTAGAAAAGTCACATTATGTTAATAGTATTATCTTGTATGAACATACTGTGACTCTAAAGTAAGTTATTCATTTGTGACATTGAATTCTATCTTGTAATTTATCTTAAGTTTTTTACCTGTCAAGTTTTTTTTTAGATTTTTAACATTACAATTTATATTTTTCCAAGCACACAACAGTTTAAAGCAAAGTTTAGTTTGAAAAGAATGTGTAGGAAGGATTGAAAAGCATGTTAACACGGTAATATAGGCTTGAGTTCATTATCTGACGCATGCATATACACACCAGGAACCTGGAAAATAAAAATACTAAATTACAAAAAACATTAAAAAAACAAACATGTTTCATTGATATATATACAAAAATGATTATTAGGAACTATATTTATCAAACATTATACTGGGCAATTAAAAATTGTTTCTGGGCAAATGAAATGTGAAAGTCAAGTGGTAAAAATCCTTAACGTCAACCCCTGCAGTTGATCATAAACCCATTGAAGTTGCCTTTCAGAGGCATCCATCTTTCACAGCTGTAGTACGCAGCAACATCTCACCAAGAGTCAAAGGTCAAGTTAGCAAAGCTAATATTTCAGACTAATTCCACCTTTGGAATCTGCAGGTGAATTTGACTAACCTAAGCAGTGAGTGCAGACACATGTACAAGTAAAAAGGAAAGATTACTTCATAAAAACTGTTAATATACTGACATCCATGAATCCGCAGCTCTCGCTGATTTGCCATGTATGCCGTCCGTCTCTAGCTGGTTTAAATGTGGAGCATTTTGTGGAACATCTAGACGGATACATTCCTATTGGGAAAGCAATGATCTGGATGCTGTGTGAGGATGGAGGGGATGGGCGATCAAACCATGAAGGTTTAAAAATTATTTAACTTTCAAGCAAGAATGAGATTTAGAATTCAAAAACTCCTAAAAATACATGTCGCCCGGAGCAAGAAGATGCGTTCAGCACGATACAGACATGTTTCGGTCCAAAGAATTGCAGTAAAGTTTATGATGTCAGCATGTCTATGGAGGACCACCTCAGCCATATAAAAAAATAAGGAAAGAAATACTCAATAATTAAGGATTTAAAATTAAGAAATTAATTGCCCTCCAAAATACAATCAAATAAATTTAGGTAGAAATTAAATTATACAGTGAAACATAAATATATACATCTCTTTTAAATAGCTTCTTTATTTTTATATATATATATAAATAT